TTAGGCCGGATAGGGCGCAGTTCAGGCGAGTTGAGGCTAGCTTATTCCAGGAAGGAAGGACGATAAAAGGCAGAAATAAGGCGAGACCTCCGGCATGATGAGGCGAATGTAGAGCGAAATAGAACAAGGTAAAGCCTGCGAAGGCGAAGGAAGGCCAGATGAGGAATAGGGCGATGTGTGAGCGCAGATGTCCGATAAGCGGAGTTGAGGGGGATAGAACCGACGGGAGGCCAGATAAAGCGACGTTGAGGCAGATGAAAGCGAGGTGAGGCGAGATGAGACCCGTTGAGGCGAGATGAGGCGTGATGAGGCGAGACTAGGAGGCGAGATGAAGCGGATTGTTGGGTGGCGGCGTGTGCTACCAAGCAGGCAGCACAAGCAGCCACACAACCCAAAAGCTCACTTGTATGGCTGCTTGTGCTGCCTGCTTGGCAGCACAAGCAGCCACACAACATCCCGCTTCATCTCGCCTCCTAGTCTCGCCTCATCTCGCCTCATCTCGCCTCACCTCGCTTCATCTCGCCTCACCTCGCTTCATCTCGCCTCACCTCGCTTCATCTCGCCTCACCTCGCCTCATCTCGCCTCACCTCGCCTCATCTGACATCTCGCCTCACACCTCGCCTCATCACTCATCTCGCCTCACCTCGCCTCACCTCGCCTCACCTCGCCTCATCTCGCCTCACCTCGCCTCATCTCGCCTCAGGTCTCGCCTCATCTCGCCTCATCTCGCCTCACCTCGCCTCTCACCTCGCCTCACCTCGCCTCATCTCGCCCCATCCCGCCCCATTTTTTTCTTTTCTAGACCACTCCGAGACCGACCCAAGACCGACCCGAGACCCGAGATCGACCCGAGATCGACCCGAGATCGACCCGAGATCGACCCGAGATCGACCCGAGATCGACCCGAGATCGACCCGAGATCGACCCGAGATCGACCCGAGATCGATCCGAGATCGACCCGAGATCGACCCGAGATCGGCACGAGCGATCAACCCAACAATGCCCCAAAGCCCCCTCTCTGGGGGACCCCCCCTCACCCCGAGTGTCCGTGTCCTTCGCGAGTCACCGATGGGGAGCGGGGGGGGGTGCGAGATGCACAGGGGAGGCTGGGGAGGGGGGGGTCCACTCTGAAGACTGCCGACCGCGGGGGGGTTTTGTCCCACAGGGTTTTACCCTCCGCGTGAGGATCGGCGCGGCGAGGGGGTAGGTTCGAATTCGCCGCGCAACATTTCACCCCCACAGGACCCCGCCCACCCCCCCTCATGGTCCCACCTAGTACCCCAATGAGCCTTCGCACCCCCTCCTTGCGCAGTGTCCCCCACTATGTGTCGCCGTTTTCGGGGCACGCTATCCTGTGCAGTCAGGGCAAGTGGGGGCGAGGCGCACACCCTCTGGTCTATACTGGTGTGGTTCTGTCCCTAGTCTCGGAGGGGGGCTTGAAGCTAAGAATATTTTATTTTTTTCAGCAACCTTCTCCCCATCGAGCTCTTCTTGCCGCACGGCTCTTCCTGTGTGCTGGCACAGAGCTCCGTGCCAGCCCTCCAACGTGATAGTAACGAATGTATCGCTTCGACGGATCGACCGTGCTTGTACCTTGATCCTTGTTATCCGGATCGATGTGACGTACAGGGTGGCACATCAGACGACACACATTCTCCCACCCGCCGGGCCACAAAACGCTCTCGACGAGAGCCCTAGACGAGAGCCACAAGAAGGCGTCCGCACAAGCAAGCCGCTCGTCGGACAGGCGTGCTCGCTCGATGTCGGCGAGCGCATGGCGCACGCCTTGGACGGTGGCGAAGCCAAAAACACCGGCAGTGGCCGTCCGCCGGTGTGAGCGGCGGCGGTCGAGACCTCACCCTTTGCGCGTCCTCACTCGGAACAACCTTGAGCACTTGAGCACTTGATAGGGTCGATTCCGCATGGTACGGGACCCCATGAACACCCCAGTCGGAACAACCTCACCCAAAACAACCCAACCTGACACCAAACAACCTCACCCCAAAAGCACGATTCTGAAATTGGGCCCTCCGGCCGCTCGCTTGCTGCCGACGTGAGACCTCGGCGTGCTGAGCCAGTAGCTGCCGCAGCAAGCAACGCATCCCCCATGCCGTTCAAAGCGCCGCCCGCGCCGCCTCACCCGCGGCGCCTCTCGGCCGGTGACTGTGACGCTGGCAGATGCCCACACAGCCCGGGGAACGGTTGCGGCGGTTCTTCAGCCAAATCTGGAGCGGTACAACTTGGCTACGAATGCGTGGTATGCGCGGCGACTGACGACGGCAAAAATGCAAGCCCCGCCGCCCCCTGGCCACCCACTGCACGACCGCGATATCTCAAC